CCCTACACAGGGATCGTGCTGTAGTGCGGCTCGGTGTGGTCATACATAGTTTGCAGTGAACCTGATTTTTGGTCTTGTTTTCAAGTGCAAACATCTAATTATAAAGCGGAGAGTTCCGGTGCTTGATTCTGATTGGCTGAGCCACGTTCGAAGCTGTTGTAAATGACGCTACAAAGTAACATACACCTTTGTTTACGTTTGTGTGTTGCTCGGCAACCACTTTGTAGCAACCACAACTGATTCTGAGGAGCTACATTGTTTGGTGGAAGAATACTGTTTTTATTAATATCATTACACTTTATTTGCTCTGTTTTATTTTGTGAAACCTTACTACGTATATGGAATAACCGTTTTATAAAAGCAATAAGCCCCGTGAAGCCGTGGTTTACAGTGAATTAACCTAACAACGCCCCTTAGCTGTTATAAATTCACTGTAAACCACAGCTTCACGGGGATTATTGCTTTAACATCCTTCAATCAGATACATTTACTGGAGAAACACAATGACAGAAGATAAGTCGTCTTGTTTTATGAGAAACTGAACAAAATGAAGTGAAAACAAGAACAAATATCTATCAACGGGGAATGAAAACTTGCTTTCCCTAGTAAAAAAGTAATATATTTAAAATACATTTAAGTATTGTTCAAATTTATTAACATATTTACTGACAGATAACTCGAGACTTACTGATATAAAAATTATAATTAAACATTATTTGGCGTACTACTTGTGCACAATGCATATTTCTTAATATTAAGACTAAAATGTGTTTTAATGTCACTTTTGACGAGGATTGTAGGATCTTTGAATAATATCGGTCTTTAAATGCAAACTATTTAACGTGTACCTGAAGAATACTTGCAATAGTTCCACTTTAGCACAATCAAATACACTAAGCATATCTTTAATTGAACTACTTCCGCACAATTAAAGTGCATTAAGTGCAAAATTTGTTGTTACTTTAAGTATAGCTACCAGTTTAGTATACTAAAAGTACAATTGCAAGACATTTTATTAAGCACATAAATATGAAAATGTATTTGTAGTATACTTAGCATGAAATAATACATTTAAGTATATTTATTTTTCACTAGGGTTCATTTTTAATTAAGTTGATTTTTCTGAACCCGCTGGCAGATATTTGTTCTTGTTTAATCATAAACTCATTTTGTCATTGTGTTTCTCCAGTAAATGTATCTTGATGTTAGAATCTTTAGACAGTTTCGCTGGAAAACGAGAGGAAGAGCAGCACTTTCAGAAGATTCTGTAAAAGTTGCTAATACAGCCATATTGACACATTGTGTTCCATTCAGTTTATTCCTTAAATTTTCTTGAAAAAAGTCTTAAACTGACCTTCACGAACCCTGCGCCAGTGCCTCACGGTGTCTTGCTCTGTCTCAGATCTGGAGATGGCCGTGGCCTACTGGAATCTCATTCTGACCGGCCGCTTTAAGTTCCTCGACCTCTGGAGCACTTTCCTTCTGGTACGTCACTTATTAAATAATTATAATCACAAACCACAAGCTTTTCATGTCACTGTAATACTCACTCTTGTGTGGAAACACACAAAACACACTTTCACTGCATCACTGATCTGATCAACATACTAAACTAAACCAGCTGAGGTCAAAAGTTTACACCCCCCTTTCAGAATCTGCAAAATGTTAATTATTTTACTAAAATAAGAGGGATCATACAAAATGCACGTTATTGTTTATTTAGTACTGACCTGAATAAGATATTTCACATAAAAGATGTTTACATATAGTCCACAAGACAATTTATAACAATGACCTGTTCAAAAGTTTGACTCTTAATACTGTGTTGTTAGCTGAGTGATCCACAGCTGTGTGTTTTTGTGTTTAGTGATAGTTGTTCACGAGTCCCTTGTTTGTCCTGAACAGTTAAACTACCTGCTGTTCTTCAGAAAACCCCCCAGCCCCCACAAATTCTTTGGTTTTGCAGCATTTTTGTGTATTTGAACCCTTTCCAACAATGACTGTATGATTTTGAGATGCATCTTTTCATGCTGAGGACGACTGAGGGACTCATACGCAGCTATTACAGAAGCTTCAGACGCTCGCTGATGCTCCAGAAGGAGAAACCATGCATTAAGAGCCGGGGGTGAAAACTTTTGAATGTGAATATCAGGGTAAATTTAACTTATTTTGTCTTCTGGGAAACATGCAACTATCTTCTGTAGCCTCTGAAGGGCAGTACTAAATGAAAAAAATATGATATTTAGGCAAAATAAGAAAAATGTACACATCACCATTCTGTTCAAAAGTTTTCACCCCCGGTTCTTAATGCATGGTTTCTCCTTCTGGAGCATCAGCGAGCGTCTGAAGCTTCTGTAATAGCTGCGTATGAGTCCCTCAGTCGTCTTCAGCGTGAAAAGATGCATCTCAAAATCATACAGTCATTGTTGGAAAGGGTTCAAATACAACAAAAGTGCTGCAAAACCAAAGAATTTGTGGGAGCTGGGGGTTTTTCTGAAGAACAGCAGGTAGTTTAACTGTTCAGGACAAACAAGGGACTCGTGAACAACTATCACTAAACACAAAAACACACAGCTGTGGATCACTCAGCTAACAACACAGTATTAAGAGTCAAGGCTGAGAATGCAGCGTGTGATTCTGCTCTCTCAAACACGCCTGTTCACGTACCTGTGTGGAGATTCATTCTGCATTAAGAGGTTTCTGATGAACCCACGGTGGTTTTGCTTCTCATCCGTCTTGTTTCTGTAAAGGAGCATCATAAAAAATCCATCACTAAAGACACGTGGAACCTGCTGCTGGACTTCGGAAACATGATCGCAGATGACATGTGCAACTACGACGAGGAGGGCGAGTCTGATTCATCAACTTCACTATTTCAGACTGAAAAGTGTCTATTTTATGTATTTTTTAGAATAATATGCACTGATTAATTGTTCACAAAGACATTATATTAATGCATTTGGCAGATGCTTTTATCCAGAGCGACTTACACTACCAGTCAAAAGTTTTTGAACAGTAATGTTTTTTAAAGAAGGCTCTTCTGCTCACCAAGCCTGCATTTTATTTGATCCAAAGTACAGCAAAAACAGTAAAATTTTGAAATATTTTTACTATTTAAAACAGCTGTTTTCTATGTGAATATGTGTTAAAATGTAATTTATTTCTGTGATGCGCAGCTGTATGCTGATTTGCTGCTCAACAAACATTTCTGGTTATTATTATTATTATTATTATCAATATTTACATTTTTTTTCAGGATTCTTTGATGAATAGAAATATCCAAAGATCAGAATTTATCTGAAATAAAAAGCTTTTGTAACATTATACACCGTACCATTCAAAAGCTTGGAGTCAGTATCATTTTTTTTGGTGGGGGGGATTATAGAAATTAATACTTTTATTTTGCAAGTGTGAAGTGCAAATTTATACAGTTTAACAGAGATTCACATAGAAAACAGCTGTTTTAATTAGTAAAAATATTTCACAATATTACTGCTTTTGCTGTATTTTGGATCAAATAAATGCAGGCTTGGTGAACAGAAGAGGTTTCTTTTGACTGGTAGTGTGTAAATATAGAAGCATGACTCGTTGTTTTGTCAGTCATGACATGAATTCAAAGGGTTAATTGTGGTTTTATGTCAGTGTTTGATGGTGATTGTGTTTTGTCATCAGGTGCATGGCCGGTGCTCATCGATGACTTTGTGGAATTCGCTCAGCCGATTGTGATGGCGGGAAAACACAAGACTCTCTAACGAGCACTAATGAGGAGGCCGAGTCCCTCTACACTGACTTTTTCAATAAAAAACAAGAAATGCATTTAAAATACACAGAGAGAGTTTGTATATTGTGAGTGTGCTGCTGTTGAGATCAGCGGCATCCCCGACTGAATTACATTTGCGTCCCTGCAGCACAAAAGCAGTGTTAAGTCGCTGGGGGATATTCGTAGCAATAGCCAACAATACATTGTATGGGTCACAATTATACATTTTTCTTTTATGCCAAAAATCATTAGGATATTAAGTAAAGATCATGTTCCATGAAGATATTTTGTATGTTTCCTACCGTAAATATATCAAAACTTCATTTTTGATTAGTAATATGCATTGCTAAGAACTTCATTTGAACAACTTTAAAGATGATTTTCTCAATATTTAGATTTTTGTGCTCCCTCAGATTCCAGATTTTCAAATATTGTCCAATCCTAACAAACCATACATCAATGGAAAGATTATATACATCTCAACCCTTATGACTGGTTTTGAGTTCCAAGGTCATCCTGCACCCACTAGTAAATCGCTCAGCCGATTGTGATGGCGGGAAAACACAAGACTCTCTAACGAGCACTAATGAGGAGGCCGAGTCCCTCTACACTGACTTTTTCAATAAAAAACAAGAAATGCATTTAAAATACACAGAGAGAGTTTGTATATTGTGAGTGTGCTGCTGTTGAGATCAGCGGCATCCCCGACTGAATTACATTTGCGTCCCTGCAGCACAAAAGCAGTGTTAAGTCGCTGGGGTATATTTGTAGCAATAGCCAACAATACATTGTATGGGTCACAATTATACATTTTTCTTTTATGCCAAAAATCATTAGGATATTAAGTAAAGATCATGTTCCATGAAGATATTTTGTATGTTTCCTACCGTAAATATATCAAAACTTCATTTTTGATTAGTAATATGCATTGCTAAGAACTTCATTTGAACAACTTTAAAGATGATTTTCTCAATATTTAGATTTTTGTGCTCCCTCAGATTCCAGATTTTCAAATATTGTCCGATCCTAACAAACCATACATCAATGGAAAGATTATATACATCTCAACCCTTATGACTGGTTTTGAGGTCCAAGGTCATCCTGCACCCACTAGTAAAAAAATTTATCTGGTGTCTGAATAATTTTTGGCTTGACTGTAAGTGTGAGAAGAACAGAATCCAGCTGGACTATAAGCTGCATAATCCGTCAGTAGATCTTGAGTGTGTGGTGTGTGTGGGACAGTAATGCACTGCTCTGAGGGTCCTGGAGCAGATGACAGACCCTCTTACCCTGGTGCCACGGCTGTTGCCTTTTTAGGAGACACCTGATCGCAGCTCAGCGCCGCCACACAAAGAGCTGCTGATAACGTCTGGAGCAAGTTCAGATGATGAAGCCATGCAGGAGTAAACGGAGGGCTGGGCTCACACACTCTCACTGTGTCCTCCGGCCCTTCAGGAGCTCGATCTGATGCTGTAGGATCTCCGGCACCTTCATGGAAAAGTTCCAGGCTGCGATGGTTCTCGGAGGAGTGGGAGACGCGCTGGGATACCGCAAGGGCCGGTGGGAAATGTGCATCTCAGGGAAACAGATCCAGCAGGAACTCTCGGGGGCCTCGGGGCCCTGAAGCTGGACGCCTATAACTGGCCCCTCAGTGACGGAGTCCTGATGCACATGACCACTGCAGAGGCGCTGATCACCGGTGAGGGAGACTGAAGCAAAACCATGTACATGAGGGTTCAAAACGGTTTAAAAAAAAAGAAATTAATACTTTTATTCATCAAGGACGCATTAAAATGATCAAAAGTGACAGTAAAGTCATTTATAATGTTACAAAAGATTTCTATTCAAATGCAGTTCTTTTGAACTTTCTATTCATCAAAGAATCTCATAATTTTGATTTATCTCATAATTATGACTTTTAATCTCATAATTAGCTTATCTTATAATTTTGACTCTTTAATCTAATAATAGTTACTTTTCATCTCAATTTTGATTTTTTTTGTCTCATAGTTGACTTTGATCTCTTTTTGACTTATGTCACAACTGTGGCTTTTTATTTTATAATTAAGATGTTTCGTATCATAATTATGACTTAGTGTTTAATAATTTTGACTTTTCAACCTCATATTTTTTACTTTTTATCATAATTGACTTTATCTCATAAATGTCACTTTTATCTCATAATTTTGACGACATAATTGTGACTTTTATTTTATAATTAAGACATTTTATCTCATATTTCTGAATTTTAATCTTATAATTTTGACTTTTCCCTCAAAATTATGGTGTAGTATCTCATAATTTCCACTTATGAGATAAAAAGTAATATTCAAAATTGAGATAGTACCATATGAGAAAAATTTAAAATTGTGAAAAAAGTCATGATGATGAGATAAAAAAAGTCCTTATTGTAAAATAAAAGGTCATAATTATGATTTTTGTTTTACTTTTTATCTCATAATTTTGCCTTTCCATCACATAATTATGACTTAGCATCTCATAATTTCAACTTTTTGTCATGATCAACTTTTCATCTCGATATTTCAAATAAATGCTGTTCTTTTGAACTTCAGTAATGATGCTGAAAATTCAGCTTTGATCACAATTACAGTTTAATATAGATTCACATAGAAAACAGCTTTTTTAAATTGAAATAATATTTTATAATTTTTACTCTATTTGTTTTATCAAATAAATGCAGCCTTGGTGAGCAGAAGAGACTTTGATTGGGTATGTTAGTCAGTGACATCAACCATTACTAATTGTTGGTCTTAATTCTGGGAAACTTTCCATTGTCATTTCAGAACACTGTGAGTGTATTAGTTCCATATCTATAAATGTTCCACTGAAGTTCATGTGTAAGCTCTTTCCGCTTGTGTTTGCTCTCAGAATAGGGATGAATCCATGTGAAATCCCTCTGCTGGCCGCGGTGTCCCTCACTAACTCTCTGAAATATGAATTGATGATAATACAGCGATCGATCTTTCCTCACACAGACGTGACACAGACCCAGAATAGAGCTGCGGGTCACAGCCATCCGTTTGCGACACACGCTAATCTCCGTGAGCTCGTAAATAACGGGAGCTTTAGTGAGGTCCCACAGAGCTGTAATCTGGCTTTTTGTCATCATTTCAACTTTTTACATCATTTCGACTTTGTCTTAATTATTACTTTTATCTCATATTTGAACTGTTTATTCTCATAATGACTTAGTATCATAATAGTGGCTTATCTCATAATTGTGACTTTTTATATCCTAATAGTGACTTTTATCTCATAATTATGACTTTTTTTGTCATAATTGTGACATTTTATTTTAACATTAGGAATTCTTATAATTATTACTTAGCATGTCTTAATTTAGACTTCTTCCTCATAATTTTGGAATAGTGTCTCATAATTTCAATTAATGAAATTTAAGTCATAATTTGAAATCAAATTGTGAAATTATGAGATACACTGTTTGACCACTGAGAGAAATACAACATTTATAAGCTGCTGACTGGATTGAGACGTACAGAATTTCATTGTAATTGTGTTACAGTTACGATAAATGCATTTAAATCTACAAAAGGTCATAATTATGACATAAACATCCATTTGTCATAATGATGAATTTTCACATTGTAACGTCAAGTTTTTACATCAGTATTTCGTTTTTTTTTGTCATAATTATGCCTTTTTATCTTAGATTTTGACTTTATCTCATAAGGACTTTTATGCAATTATGACTTTTTTATGTAATAATTGCACAAGTTTGACATCTTTTATAACCATATAACATTTTGTTATAATTTTGTTACACTGACAATAAAGAAATCTACAAAAGTCATGATGACATAAAAATTCAATTCATGTCATAATTGACTTTTTATCTCATAATTGACTTTTTATGTCAATTATTATTATTTTCTAATAATTTTACATCTACAATCTACAAAAAGGCATAATTATGACAAAAAACAATAAGTCATAATTTGTATCTTTTTCTCTAGTATTTTACTTTATTATGACTTTTTATAGAAATATTTCGTTTTTAAAAAGCGTTTCTTATCCATACTCCTACACTGTTTGACTGCCGAGACTTTATGTCATAAATTCAACTTTTTACATGATAATTCCAACTTTCTTTTGTCATAATTATGGCTTTTTTATTTGTATTTTTTAATCGAAAGCACTTCTTATCCACACTGCAACAACGTTTGACTGCCAAGACAAAAACAAGCACCGCAAATAAACCAAACTCCAGCTGGAGAGTGTATCTCTGTCACATATTGATTATGTTGAGTCTGCAGGATTTACTAACAGCTCCTGTCGTCTCTAGTTCATGGACACACGAGCGCTCGTGGCCTTCATCTGTTGCTGCAGAAGCCCCAGAGGAGCACTAATGCCCTCAGAATGCCTGCCATCCGCCTCACACAAACACTCTAATCAGCTAAACTCGTCCTGCGGATGCCTGAGCGTCTGATGGTGTCTGCTCAGATTACTGGTGTCTGGAGGATCTGTACCGGGAGCTGGTGAGGCTCTATGTGGAGGCCATGGTGTGTCTGCAGGGTCGAGCTCCAGAGCCCAGCACTGTGGAGGGATGCGTCAACCTCAAGCCACACAACTTCCTGTTAGCCTGGCACACGCCCTTCAATGACAAAGGTACACACACACACACACACACTCACGGTGAGTCACGCTGAGGGACTGAATGCAGTATTTCATTCAGAATCGCCATCAATCTGAATCACATTGGCCACAGCACACAGGAAGTTGTCTATTTATTATGGAAGCCAATTTTCACCACATAAAAATGCTTTGGTAAACCATAATTATTTTTTTTACATCATAATTTTGACTTTTTAACATTTTGACTTTTTCTTAGTATCTCATAATTTAGACTTTTTGTAGACTTCATCTCATAATTATGACTTACTGTCTCATAATTCTGACCTTTTATGCCACAAATGACAGTGTATCTCATTATTTTTCCTTTTTTCATAATTATTACTTTTTATCCCATAATTGACTTAATACATGATACTTTCTGTCATGACTTTTTTTTATCTCATAAATATGACTTATCTCATAATTTTGAGGTTATGTCATAATTATGATTCAGTATCTCATATGACTTATCTATTGTGACTTCTGATAATTTAGACGTTTGTCATAATTATGACTTTTTAGCATAAATATGACTTTGTATTTCATCATTTAGATTTATAACTCAGTATCTAATAATTGACTTTTTATCTATTTTGACCTCATAATTTTGACTTTTTGCATAATTATGCATTTTCATCAGATAATTACGCATTTTTTTTCAGAATTATGACTTAGTATTTCATCATTTGAACTTATGTCATAATTATGGCTTAGTATCTCATAATAATGACTTTTTATCTATTTGAAATTCTCGTAATTTAGACTTTGCCATAATTATGAATTATCAACACATAATAATGACTTAGTATCTCATTATTAATCTCACGCCCTTCAATGACAAAGGTACACACACACACACACACACTCACGGTGAGTCACGCTGAGGGACTGAATGCAGTATTTCATTCAGAATCGCCATCAATCTGAATCACATTGGCCACAGCACACAGGAAGTTGTCTATTTATTATGGAAGCCAATTTTCACCACATAAAAATGCTTTGGTAAACCATAATTATTTTTTTTACATCATAATTTTGACTTTTTAACATTTTGACTTTTTCTTAGTATCTCATAATTTAGACTTTTTGTAGACTTCATCTCATAATTATGACTTACTGTCTCATAATTCTGACCTTTTATGCCACAAATGACAGTGTATCTCATTATTTTTCCTTTTTTCATAATTATTACTTTTTATCCCATAATTGACTTAATACATGATACTTTCTGTCATGACTTTTTTTTATCTCATAAATATGACTTATCTCATAATTTTGAGGTTATGTCATAATTATGATTCAGTATCTCATATGACTTATCTATTGTGACTTCTGATAATTTAGACGTTTGTCATAATTATGACTTTTTAGCATAAATATGACTTTGTATTTCATCATTTAGATTTATAACTCAGTATCTAATAATTGACTTTTTATCTATTTTGACCTCATAATTTTGACTTTTTGCATAATTATGCATTTTCATCAGATAATTACGCATTTTTTTCAGAATTATGACTTAGTATTTCATCATTTGAACTTATGTCATAATTATGGCTTAGTATCTCATAATAATTACTTTTTATCTATTTGAAATTCTCGTAATTTAGACTTTGCCGTAATTATGAATTATCATCACATAATTATGACTTAGTATCTCATTATTAATCTTTTTAAGTTATAATAATGCTTTACCAAAGCATGATTTTTTTTTCTTATGTGGCAGAAAGTGGCTTCCATAATGTATCGATCAATCAATTCAGTTATAATAATCTTAATTCATTTTAATTCTACTTCATTACATTCAAACTGCAATTCTGTGTCTGTTTGCTCCTCAATTCAAAGATTTTCATTTAAAGGCATTGTTGATTCAGTTCTGAACGGAGCTCAACCTGCTGGACTGAAATTTACATTTAATCATTTAGCAGACGCTTTTCTCCAAAGCGACTTACAAATGATGACGATAGAAGCAATCAAAACTAACAAAAGAGCAATGATATGCAAGTGCTGTGATAAGTCTCAGTTAGCCTAATGCAGCACACGTAGCAAGTTTAAAAAAAAATATATATATACAGTATATAACAAAACGAAAACAAGTAGATAGAATAGAAAAAGAATAGAGAAAGTTAGAGGCCTTTTTTTTAGAAAACGAATAGAGAGTGCAAGTGTTAGAGGGTCAAGTCAACAAATAGATAGTATAGAATTAGAATAGAGAGTGCTAGAGTTAGAGAGTGTTAGAGGGTCAAATAAAGATGGAAGAGCTGTGTTTTAGCCGTTTTTTGAAGATGGCCAAATGTGTTATGGATGAAAATGAAACATGAAATGTGTTAAACTGATGTCACGATCTCAAAAACATTGCATGGACACTGTGAGGGGGGGATGTGCAGATCTGCAGGAACGAGACTGTTCCGGTTCTGATCTCAGATCGGTTGATGACAGAAGCACTCAGTAATGGATGCGTGTGTTGTTGTACCTGCAGGTTCTGGTCACGGAGCTGCGACTAAAGCCATGCGTGTGGGCATGCGCTACTGGCAGCCCCAGCGGCTGGACAGTCTGGTGGAAGTGAGCATAGAGACGGGCCGGATGACCCACAATCACCCCATAGGTGCCTCATCCTCATCCTCACATGTCCTTCACCGATGCGTCTCGCTCTGTGCGCAGGGTTCCTGGGCTCGCTGTGTACGGCTCTCTTCGTCTCATACGCCATCCAGGGAAAGCCACTGGTCAGCTGGGGTCGTGACCTCATGACGGTCATTCCCAAAGCGGAGGAATACTGCAGGAAGACCATCCGGCACATGGCAGGTGAGCCGATCTGGACACTTCCAGTGTAAGACCCGAGGACAGAAAGCCTGATGATGATGTGCTTCCTCTAGAATACCAGGAGAAGTGGTTTTACTTTGAGGCCAAATGGCAGTTTTATCTGGAGGAGAGAGGAATAGAAGACGGTCAGAGTAAACCTATATTCCCTGACCGATACGACGCTGAAGAAACAGACAAGGCAAAGCACTCACACTTATCCCACCGCAGTCCTTTGGATGAATCACATTAACGGATCACACCAGAAATAACTAAACACACACAGAGAGAGACACAAGGCATCATTTCAAATGTTCAATTTTGAACCATCTCATATTTTGACTTTATCTTATAATTACGACTTACTATCCTAAAATTAATTGTATCTTAGTTTATCAAAAGACATTTTATCTCATAATTGGGACTTTTTATCTTGTATGTTGACTTTATGTTATAATTATAACTTAGTATCTCAAAATTAATTTTTGTCATAATTTATCTTTATCTCATATTTTGACTTGTCATAACTGACTTTTTATCTAACAATTTCAACTTTTTATCTCATATTTTGACTTTGTCTTATAATGTGTGTGTGTGTGTGTGTGTGTTTGTGTGTGGAGTGAGTGAGTGAGTGAGTGAGTGAGTGCGTGTGTGTGTGTGTGTGAGTGAGTGAGTGAGTGAGTGTGTGTGTGTGTGTGTGTGTGTTCAGATGTACAAGCGCTGGAGTTCAGAGGGTTGTCCCGGACGCAGGGGTCACGACGCTCCCATACACTATTATGATGCTCTGCTGGTGGCCGGATCCAGCTGGGAGGAGCTGTGAAAATACGCCATGTTTCACGGAGGTCAGGAACCGTTCATAACACGCGGATCACTGCAGAAACATCAGCTGCTCAGTTTGGACTTGTGACTCAGAAGGGCTTTTGTGTGCGTGTGCATTAATGTGCACGACCAAATGTGTGCACACACCTGTTTTTATGATCAAATTTGTCTATTTTTCACATTTTAAAATAATAGTGAAGTCAGGGAACCAAATGGAGGTTTTCCTTTTAGTGTCCAAACCAAATTATGCATTAGCCATAATTTTAAAAAAGTACAAAATTAATAACAAACACTACCAGTCAAAGGTTTTTGAACAGTAAGATTTTTTATGTTTTTAAAGAAGTCTCTTCTGCTCACCAAGGATGCATTTATTTGATCCAAAATACAGCAAAAAAAAAATACAGTTTTGTTTGGTGAAGTAATTGTGTGGATTGGGTGTGTGCAGGTGCGAGCAGTGCTACGGGTCGGCTCGCCGGCTCTCTCTATGGGCTGCTGTTCGGGATCGACCCGGTTCCTGCTGGACTCTATCAGGATCTGGACAAGAGACAGAAACTGGAAGATCTGGGAGAACGCCTGCACCGAGCAGCCGCAGGAGAGAAGTAACGCGCTGACGTCTGAGCCAACAAACACAGAGTTTCGATGGACTCAAGCCACATGTCGAAACTAATAAAACTGGTATTTCTGATCCTACATCAATGTTTCAAAGGAATAAGACAGTCGATATCTGGTAACACGTCCCATTATTTAATGTTAGCTCATGCATTAACTGTGAACAATACATTTGTTACCATCTTTGTTACAATTCATTAATAAAATACAATCGTTCATTGTTAGTTCATGTTAGTTCAGGTCCATTAAGTAATATTAACAGATATAGCTTTCTATTTTATTAATGCATTAACACACTGAAAAGAAGCAGACAGTAGAAAAACTGAAAAGGTATTTTCTTTGTAAAACATACTTCAATACATTTTATTTACAAGTTTGCAGTGTAAAATGTTGTAATTAACACTAATTTGGATTAATAAATGCTTTAGAAGAATCGTCTATTGTTAGTTCATGTTAACTAGTGTAGTTAACTAATGGGAAGTTTGACCAGAAATCTGGTGCCAAGCTCTTAACTGAGTCATAACCCATGTTATCCTGGTAAATGAAATGCTTTTTGGATATTACTATAATCAGCTGGATGTTTAAACATCATTAAATGTTTTTTTTTTTTTTAATCTATAGTTTTTTAGCATGTGAAAGATCATAATACCAGGTTTTGCAAGTTTATGCTTAAACTCAATAAGTGACTTTTGCTCTTAATTCTGCTGTAAGTGAGGTTTTCATAATAGCAAACATATATAATGATGAAACAGCACTAATAGTCTCTTTAGCCAATCAGACATGCTCTGTGCCTGTCAATCATGTTTTCTGGGTTGGCTGTTATGATGGAGGGGGTGGGGTTTAGGAGAGGGTGTGGTCAAAGCAAAGGTGGGCGGGTCTAATTCAGTGACGAACACTCACAGAGTTCCTCCTGAAGGTTCATTCACAGACGAAGGCTTTTTCATCAGCTCGTCACTTCAGTGACTCTAATGCACATGCAACACTTTTCCTACAATCCTAAAGACTTTTAACTGGCTTTGTTAAAGTTTGACAACTTTGAAAAATTTAAAGAAGTTTTAAGTTGAATGGTTTTCAGTTTGAAACAGCTTGAAGTTTAAAGTAGCTTTAAAAGCTTAAAGTTTGAATGTTTTGAAGGCAATACAGACAGACAGACAGATAGATAGATAGATGATAAGGACCTCAGAGTGGTTGCTAGGGTATTCTAGGTGGTTGCTAAGGTACTCTGGATAGTTGCTAGGGTGTTTCTATGCGGTTGCTAGGGTACTTGGAGTGGTTGCTATGATGGTTGCTAGGCTACCCAGGGTAGTTGCTAGGGTGTTGCTATGTGGTTGCTAGGGTGTTGCTATGCGGTTGCTAAGGTACCCAGGTCAGATGCTAGGGTGTTGCTATGTGGTTGCTAGGGTACCCAGATCGATTGCTAGGGTGTTGTTATGCAGTTGCTAAGGTACCCAAGTCGGTTGCTAGGGTGTTACTATGCGGTTGCTAGGGTACCCGGGGTGGTTGCTAGGGTGTTGCTATGCGGTTGTTAGGTTGGTTTGGCTAGTTGCTAGAGTGTTGCTTATATATATATATAAGCATAGCTGATATTTGTCTACAAAACTAATTTAAATAATTTATGCAAACACCTTTGAAAAAAATAAAAAGATCATAATAAACTCAGTGTCCAGTGTTGTTATTGTTAACTGGAACTATTATAAATGATTATTTTTTAGCCTTTGAAGTTTTATTTTTCAAAGTTAAATAATTTTGTTTTTAGCATTTTATTTTGTAATATATGCAAAACGCTAAAAACAACAAAATAAATGCTGAACAAAACATTAATTATATCAAAGATAATTACAACTTTAAATGCTCAAATAAAATTGTAATTCTTAATTTGAACTATTAGAATCAATTTTGTTAGCTGAAATACAATAAATATTAAAAAACTAAAACAATTAGAAACGTCGATTACTGTTATTATGAATGTTGTAAATTACTAAAAACTAAAGCTATATATTTCTGAAGATCATGTGACACTGAAGACTGGAGTAATGATGCTGAAAATACAGCTGCGCATCACAGAAATAAATTATAAATAAAAATATATTAAAATAGAAAACTATTATTTTTAATTGTAATAATATTTCACAATATTACGTTTTTTTCTGAGCATAATAGGCTTCTTTATAAAACATTAAAAGCTTACCGATCTCAAACATTTAAACAGCAGTGTATGTATAAACAAACAAAAAAAAAGACAAAACCACTAAAATATGAAATAGTATATAAATAATACTAAAACGACACTTAGTAAATCTGTAGTTATGTACTAGAAACAACATCAATGATCTGGACAGATAACGAGTGACACGCTCAACTGTTGTTTTTATTAATGAAACACTGACGAGTATAAGTCATTATTTATTTATTAACCTCAAACCCTGAAGCATAAAAATAACCAAACATTCACTACAAAAATAACAGCGCAGCAGAAACCAGCCAACGTCAGTGACACAAGCAGTCATGTGACCCAGCGACATGCACGTGACCAAACCACCAGGAACCTCAAACCCACGAGACATGACTGTGTGTCATCATCATCATCATCATCATCACTTAAACACTGATCTACAGATCAACCATCATCATCATCATCACTGTCAGGAAGCTGCTGCTGTTGCTGATGAAGAAGATGATGATGAAGACGTCACTGACATGCACTTTAAATGTCTTATGAAAGCACAAGATACAGTTTCAGACTCACGTTCATTCATTTCCCTTTTCACTCGAGCAACAAACTGAACCTTCATCATCATCATCATCATCAGTTTTTAGGGTTCATGTTCACACAGAATCACTGCATTGGTGTCTTTCTCAGCGTCTCGCTCAAGTTCAGATCAGATTTGAACAAACGTGTTCTGTGTGAACGGCCCTTACAGCTGTGTGTGTGTGTGTGTGTGTGTGTGTGTGAGTGTGTGTGTGTGGAGGATCATGGGTAATTCACCAGCGGCTCTATTCAGGTTTCATGATCCAAAAAACAACAAGAACATTCATTATTTACATCAGGTGTCATTTAAAGCCAGCATCACACACACACACACACACACACACGTAAATGAGCTGATGTCATAAACTTATTTTTACATAAAGCCAATTACACAAAGCTCAATAAAAAGAACATACTAAAGAACATTAGAATAAAAATAAAAAAAAGACGAGTAATTTTGATGAGGACGTCTGAGAGTGAAGGTTTGTCTAGTTTGTGCTGAACATCTGGACTCAAACAATCATCATCCACACAAACACACTCATTCAGAACAGCTTTCAACTGATCCACACACTCACTCACACACACACTCACTCACACACACTCTCACGCTCTCTCACACACACACACACACACTCACGCTCACACACTCACACACACTCTCACGCTCTCACACACACACACACACTCTCACACACACACACACACTCTCACACACACGCTCACGCTCACACACTCACGCTCACACACGCACTCTCACGCTCTCTCACGCTCTCTCACGCTCTCACGCTCACACGCTCACACAGACTAGTCGCTGGTCCTATAGAGGGCACAACAGGATAAGAAATCCATATTTACACTCAGTTTCCAAACAGTTAAAATGACAAATAAATGCAAACTCTGAAAGCGCTCCACAAGACGTGTGATTATACCATCTGGATTCAAGAAATTGAACGGGAGAATGCACGTTTTAAACAGCTTATTGTACAGGTAAGTGAATCGCCGTTCTAATCGAATGTGCCGCTGCACTGTAACACACACACATTACAGACAGTAGCTCGTACATCACGCGCAGAATCATTCAGTAGCGCAGAGTATTGTCAACACTGTTCTGTGATTTCTCAATAAAACAGCTTAGAAACTGAAAGGTTCTAGCATATATTTCTTAACTAAATCCCACAGCTTCACTACTAGTAGAGAGACGCTGCCAGGTAGAATTAATTCACACACGCAATCGC